TTGCTGCTCTGGCATTTCCTTTTGGAGGCGAAACAAACGTCCTGACAGCCAGCAGACTGGCCATCAAGCAGTGCAGCACTGGTAAAAAGCAACTGAGAAAGAAGCCAATCGTATAATCTGCTAAATAGGCTCGATCTGGGCTTTCCAAGAAATATGTGTTGGGATGAAAGCAGCAGTTGGGGGAGGAAGAGGTTGTTTGGCTGTTCCTGAATTCAGCATAAATTTCTCGTTTCTTAGATTTATGTGGCGCAGATGACTGCATCCGATTTCTCGGTTGTCTTGAAGTGCTCATTCGAGGCGCAGTTGTCCGATGAAGTGATTCAGAAAATGGTTGATTTGAACAGTCTGATTGCCAAGAAAATGGCTGAAGATGCACAGTTTGCGGCGAAGGGATCTCCGTTTGAATTTAATCTACGCGACCTCTTAAGATGGGCGCAACTAACTGTTGAGGTTAGTCATTTAAGTGAATTTTTTGCTTCAGCTATTTTTTTAAAAAAAAAACAGAATTTAGAGAGTGACAAGGCACTGAGTGGGGCAGAGAGAGGCAGAAAAACTAGGAGGAGGGGGTGTTTTAACCTAGAAAACGGAAGGATATGGGGATTTAGCTGCGCTTGAGGTCTGCTCACACTTTATCTTCCGAGCAAGTTTAAATTTTTATAAACAAGTTTATTTTTATTCCTCATCTTTCTTACCAAAACTTGCATGTCCCCTCCAACATAGCAAAATGGGGTACTGTACTGATGAATCCCACCTCATTTCACAACGATTCAGCCGTCTGTGTCTACAGTTCAAGGATGAAACACAGACGTCGCCTATTCCGAATACCGGTTTGCATACCTGAGATAGCTAAATGGCTCTTTTAAGTTTCACCAAATATTAAAATTCGACTGTTTTTCCTTTGATGGCCTACACTGCGACCAAATTACACATGCGCCGTAAGAAACGTCTTACCCCGTCTTGCTCCTATTTTTTAAAAGCTGTTAATTTCATTGTTTTCATTAGCACTGTAGTAGCATTCCAAATTTTCCAGTACTTAGGTGTTCCATAGCGATAGCTGAAATGATCTTGGCCAATCCGATAATACGGATTTCCTTGCAGTCAAATCAGAACTTTCTTTAAAAAAAGCGTTCGGAATATTTTCAAATAATTTTTAATTTCTTGTCAGTTATTCCGGCACAAAATTACCCCCAGTGAGTGTGTAGGGGCAAGCCAGGGCAAGATGGCCCAAACAGATACGTTCAATGCGTTGTTTCGTTGTTTTGCCAGAGTTCTACATTTCTCGTAGTTCTGTTTAGGCCATTGTTTTTGCATATATCCAGGATGTTTTTCCAGAGCGGCGGTGATATTGCATATGGATTCGATTTACTGTATGTATGGCGCTTGCGTAGCAACGCTGATCGACTAAAGGTGAGTGATTTTGTGGTCGTTGAAACCAACCAGGATTTAAGTGAAGATCGTTTTATGTAACTTTCTAAAGTCGGATGAGAGTAGATATAAACGATGCAACCGTGAATGATGAGGGAGAGCGGTCTTTAACACTGTAAAATGCATCTTAGCATCGTGCAATTCAGTTGATTTGAAAAGG